CAGGACCCTGAAACGTGAGCAGCTAAATGGAATTCAGACATCATTTTTTCATTATTTTAGATTTTCATGCCAAAATGTCTTCAGTGAAAAAGGTTAATAGAAAATGAATACTAATATTTAAGAGACAGAGCCAAATACAGTAATAATAAAATGTGTTTGTAGGAGTAGCATTTTTTTTAAAGATGTCTGTGAAGGTTCTCAGTCATCCAGGTCATAGTTATCCAAAGAAGGTTGAGGTCAAGGGCAACTGGACTTGGTAGAAGATACTAGAAGACATTTTTTCTTCAGTTCTGACTCTTTTAACAACAATACATACTTTTTACAGAAACTGTGCAGGTGTCCCACCAAATCTGAGCTGATGTCACACAGTGTGGTAGTCATATGACAAAACATAGCTCCTTTTTCATTGTATTTTCACACAGTGTGAGCATCACAAAAATATGAAATATAATAAATCAATATACTTAACATCAGGGATTTTATCGCACCCTGATCCAGCACAGTAAGTTACCTTGATAAGATTTGTCCGCACAACCCGATTGTTGAGTTTGTCCAGTCCCAGTTTCTGGACATTGAAGGCTGCGATCTTCATTTTTCCTAAAAAAAAACAAAACAATATCCACATAATTTCAGAGATTTAAACAAGACAAGGAGTCTACAGCCATGCTAGCAGCTGTGGGGCCGTACTTATATATTTGTATTTAAGATAAATGCAAACATGAGCATACTAACTGGCTCAGAGTGAGAACAATAGCATGCTGATGCAGGTATGTTTACCATGTCTAACATCTTAGTTTAGTGTGTAAAAATACTAACATTGCTAATTAGCATTAAACATACAGCTGAACCCACGACCCTGTACGCAGGATAAGCGGTTGACGATGGATGGATATACAGCTGAGGCTGATGGTAATGTCATTTGTTTTGCAGGAATTTGGTCTTAAACCAAAGAAATGAATGTTTACCAAATCTTCACTTCAATACCAAAATATATTAACCTCCTGGTGGCGCTAGAGTAAAAGTGAGGAGCTCCGTGGACCACAAATATCTGTACCAAATTTAATTTTAATCAATTAAATAGTCAAATATTTCCGTCTGGACCAAAGTGGTGGACCGACCATCAGGCCAATGAGATAAGATATAGAAGAAAAAAGAAATGGGCCGCAGATGAAAAAGGAAAAATAGGGAAGCCACATCAGTAGTTGACTTTATCTTAGTGTGTGGGCAGGGAGGTGACACAATTTGCATCCAGCTGTTCAAAGATACAACAAGAATCACATGAAAGTCTTCTATAATATCAGGAAATATTTGGTGGAAAGGAAAAGTACTTCATAGTGAGGAAATAAATTCCTTCTAGTAAACTGACTCATTTCCTGAATAAAAGTCTTGAGGAAAATATTTGCTACTTGTTAGGTTGATTTCGTTTGTCTTTATCTATTATATATTAATGTTAACCTTTGCACAACATTTCCCTTAATACACAGAGTAGATGTATAAACATCATACTGTTAATACACATAACATCATTCTCACACATCTCCCCCAAATCTGCTCAAATGCTCAAACAACCCCACAAAAAAACCTAATGTGTTCATCTTTTTAACATCACAGTAAATGCACATAAGAAGTCCTGAAGAAAAAAGGAGTGGATTGTGATACTTTCATCATTACAACCTACAAAAAATATTTTTAATGTCAGTCCAGCAGGTTTCCCGCCAATACTGATCTGGCATCACTCCATGGAAATCATGCAGTAACAGGAAAAGTCAGAGAAATGAAATATCTGCTAGATTAAAACGTATTTTTAGCACTGAAAGCTAGAAGAAAATTAGTACAAACACAAAAATACTCACCAATCTGGTTGAGGTGAGCAAAATCAAATGTTTAAACAGCAGGGAACAGCAGTGTCCACAGACAGATGTGACTAAAACTTCCTGCCAAGAGCCGTCTTATTTAACTGAGAGAGACCGGAAGTGTGTCTGCCAGCCAAGAAGTTGGCGTGCAAACACACAGAGTCGTGTCATAATCAATGTCTGACAGTGAATCCATGCAATATCAACAAAAAAAATGTGGTGAGACAAATAATTATTATTCTTTCCTGCCAGTTCTGTAAGCAGTCGTGGAATGTAACTGAGTATGTTTACTCAAACTGTACAAAGAACTATGTTCAGGTACTTATACTTACTATACTCTACTACATTTCAGAGGGAAATACATGTATTTAACAGCTAAAGCTCCCAGTTACTGCTGAGATTTGACATAAAAATACTTGACAAAAGCAGCTGGGGCTGCTTGTCATGTTTCTAATCTCTGTGAGATGTTCGGCGTTTCACCAAAAACACATTTCCCCTCTAAACTCAAAAGGTTTCATTACAATATCTGTCAAATTAGGGTCAAATTATCCAATAATTCAGAAAAAAGCAAAACTGACAGTCCAAAACATAAATTTGTGTTGAAGGGCTTTTTCTTTTTCCTCTTCTTAATCATCTCACAGCCCCTCAGAGGGCCACATGAGGGTAGCGACCCATAGGTTGGGAACCTTTAACTTGTAATGGAGCAGGCTTTATTTTTTAGTAAGTGTTTTTTTTATGCAAACTAGTAAATATGGCTGTAAAATAAAAAGAAAGTCAGAAACTACAATATTTATCCTCTCAGATGTAATAGTGTATAAACTAGTCAAATTGAGTCAAAAACTTCTGAAATGGATGAATGTGAGAACAAGACAATTAAATTTAACTTCACTGTATAAAATTACAAAGATTAAGATAGATCATGATAAAGAAATTAGTTGGTCATGAATTAAACTGATTATGAGATTTTACAGTGAGGGATGGATGTCTCGTCAGGTGGAAATTGATTTGTTTAAAAAGTGGCGGGTAAAAAGTGGCGGGAGGAAACCGTCCAACGATTTGAAATTTAATTTCCCTCCTTGCTGCCCACGCACACACACACACACAGAGTTACTGTTACTGCATGTTTCCATGATCTTGCAGGAAAACAGGAAGCTCCTCCCTGGATGTTTGAAACAACAGAATAGTGTTCCCCTTTCTCACAGTTTGAACATAGGTAGGTAGGTAGGAACATTAGGACTCCTCCTTGTATATTATTAAACAACTTATTTTAAAATTAATAACCAGACATTACTCTGCACATATGGATCACCGAGACAGTTACCAGTTAAATATCATGGAAGAAATGAGAGTTATTATTCTAAATATGTACAGTTGTGTTACTTCTGCAAAAGACGTCCTGACTTGCTCTAATAGAGGAACCTGCAATAAATTCAGTGTATTAATATCATGGACACATGACTGGTAGATAATGGTGAAGGTAGTCTAGGCTGCATAAATCTGCCAATTTAAACCAAGTGGTATTTGGTTGAACTAATATACAGTGGGTACGGAAAGTATTCAGACCCCTTTAAATTTTTCACTCTTTGTTTCATTGCAGCCATTTTCCAAAAGTCAAAAAAGTTCATTTTATTTCTCAGTAATGTACACTCAGCACCCCATCTTGACAGAAAAAAACAGAAATGTAGAAATTTTTGCAAATTTATTAAAAAAGAAAAACTGAAATATCACATGGTCATAAGTATTCAGACCCTTTGCTCAGTATTTAGTAGAAGCACCCTTTTGATCTAATACAGCCATGAGTCGTTTTGGGAAAGATGCAACAAGTTTTTCACATCTGGATTTGGGTATCCTCTGCCATTCCTCCTTGCAGATCCTCTCCAGTTCTGTCAGGTTGGATGGTAAACGTTGGTGGACAGCCATTTTCAGGTCTCTCCAGAGATGCTCAATTGGGTTTAAGTCAGGCTCTGGCTGGGCCATTCAAGAACAGCCACGGAGTTGTTGTGAAGCCACTCCTTCGTTATTTTAGCGGTGCGCTTAGGGTCATTGTCTTGTTGGAAGGTAAACCTTCGGCCCAGTCTGAGGTCCAGAACACTCTGGAAAAGGTTTTCGTCCAGGATATCCCTGTACTTGGCCGCATTCATCTTTCCCTCGATTGCAACCAGTCGTCCTGTCCCTGCAGCTGAAAAACACCCCCACAGCATGATGCTGCCACCACCATGCTTCACTGTTGAGACTGTATTGGACAGGTGATGAGCAGTGCCTGGTTTTCTCCACACATACCGCTTAGAATTAAGGCCAAAAAGTTCTATCTTGGTCTCATCAGACCAGAGGATCTTATTTATCACCATCTTGGAGTCCTTCAGGTGTTTTTTAGCAAACTCCATGCGGGCTTTCATGTGTCTTGCACTGAGGAGAGGCTTCCGTCGGGCCACTCTGCCATAAAGCCCCGACTGGTGGATTGCTGCAGTGATGGTTGACTTACTACAACTTCCTCCCATCTCCCGACTGCATCTCTGGAGCTCAGCCACAGTGACCTTTGGGTTCTTCTTTACCTCTCTCACCAAGGCTCTTCTCCCCCGATAGCTCAGTTTGGCCGGACGGCCAGCTCTAGGAAGGGTTCTGGTCGTCCCAAACGTCTTCCATTTGAGGATTATGGAGGCCACTGTGCTCTTAGGAACCTTAAGTGCAGCAGAAATTTTTTTGTAACCTTGGCCAGATCTGTGCCTTGCCACAATTCTGTCTCTGAGCTCTTCAGGCAGTTCCTTTGACCTCATGATTCTCATTTGCTCTGACATGCACTGTGAGCTGTAAGGTCTTATATAGACAGGTGTGTGGCTTTCCTAATCAAGTCCAATCAGTATAATCAAACACAGCTGGACTCAAATGAAGGTGTAGAACCATCTCAAGGATGATCAGAAGAAATAGACAGCACCTGAGTTAAATATGAGTGTCACGGCAAAGGGTCTGAATACTTATGACCATGTGATATTTCAGTTTTTCTTTTTTAATAAATTTGCAAAAAATTTTTTCTGTCAAGATGGGGTGCTGAGTGTTATATAATTAAGCATAATGTGAAAAATAACAATATGAAATTAGTATTTTTATGGGAATATTCCCATGGTATGTAAATGTTTTTATGGTTGGTCAATGGTCAAAGTAAGATAATGGTTAAGATAATTTTTAATTTATTATATTGCAGCAAAGCAAAATTAAATGTGTTTGTAAAATTAATAATAATAAGGATGGTAAAATGCAGAATAATCGTCCTTGGGCTGCTCATTCTCCTCTTCCTCGTCGTCCTCTTCCCCGTCATCCTCCTCCTCTTCCTTCAACTCCACCTCCACAGGGTAGTGGTCACTGATGTCTTGAGTCTGAAAGAAAACACGTCATAAATCTCTTTGCATACAAGATGGAGAAATGACTATGAACTTTATTGTATATATATTCATTGTTTATACAGTCCAAAACCTCAATGCAAAATGTCAAACAGTCTTACTTTGGCTTTAGACAGGCGATAAGCTTTCTGAAAGTTGAAAGTCTGAGCTGAGCCGGGCTCTACAGCTTTATACATGTCATTGCCAAACACCACGATCCTGTTGGCAGAAAATGCAGTCACAATCAGGGGTTTATGTGGAAATGTCAAATTGTAAAACTTTCACAAACATACTATTTATGGAACGTCCTCTATTAAAGGGTCATTTCACCTAATAAACAAGTATTTTCTCACTGACACTTTACCTCGAGTAGCCATGCAGATATGAGTCTTATTATTACAGTTATTACAATTCATCATGAAGGGGATGTGAATCATGCTAATTTCATGACAATCCATCCAGGAGTTGTTGAGATATTTCAGCCTGGACAAATGTGGCGGACCGAAAGAGTGACCAACATTTCCACACCCAGAAATTTTTTCCATACAGCTCTACTCTATTGTAGTGGAGGCAGATGGTTTAGTAAAATAAACTGTACTTCTTCAGTTAACATAAAACTAGAAAAGAAGATGTAAAGATACCTGTCATAGGTGTGGTCATTAGAGTGACTTGTCGTGGTGTCGACATCATCAGCTATCAGCCAATGGTACGGACGGTAGCAGATGCGGATCTTTTTCTTCTTCTTCTCGGAGAGGTAATGCCCGTCTGCATTAAAGTCCCCCAAAATCATAATGTTCTGCAGAAAAATATAGACATCAAATACAACAAAACAAGTAATATAACCAACTGTCCTCCTTAGACATACAGTAATAAGTAATACAGAAAATATTCTGAGCATTATTTATAATACCCAGAATAACAAAGAACTCTTTATACTAACTCCTTTTGGATCAGAGTATGTACCAGATATGAAGAAGTACTGTTACCAGTAAATGGCCACAGCCTTCTTATTATGATTAATGATTATTTGGTCTTCTGAAAAACGAATAGAGATTAATAAAAATATATGTAATGATGCAAACTTTAGAAGGTGATAATATGCTAGTGTTGTGTTTACAGCTTGTTTGTCTTTGTCCATAATATATAGGCCTACAATACTTATCTTTTTTTTATATAAACATGTAAACATGTCCACCTCTTGCACATTATTTCTGGAAGAGGCTTCAGTGGATGCAAGTGCATTTTTAGTTTAAAAATAACCATTTCATGAGTTATTCCACTCAAACCTATCAAAGAATATCTATTATTACTACTATACTTTATATTTATTCTATTCATTTCCCACCCACATCCGTGCGCCATCTTTTCTTCACAGCTTTGACAACATCATGCAGAGCGTCCAGCTCTCTTGGCGTATCCTCTGGTTTGGTGTGGACTGGGATCAGCACCAAGTTCTGCACAACTAGAAGCACAAACACACTCAGTGAGCCATGGATGAATAAGTGAACACACACATACAGTTTGCATTTGTAGGACCCGTGTAGCACTTGTGAGAACCCGTATTGCCTAGACCCTAACATAGACCCCAATCCTAATCAAAAACTTTTATACCAAGTCTTAACCTTCACACAGTCCATTAGCGGTCTGTCCGAAAGTTTAAACCTCACAATCCACATATGTCCTCACAACACTGGTCTGATGGAGAGGTCCTCACAAAGCAAGGCAATTCAATCACACACACACACACACACACACACACACACATACCTGTATTTGGACACTTGAGCTTCAGAATGAAGGGCTCTCTAGCGAGCACATCTTTATGACCTTCTTTGTACTGGTAGGTGTCGATCACACTCACTTCAGCCTGTCTGAGACACACACACACATGCATGCACACATGGGCTGCATCAGAAACATTCAGTACAGAGAGACATTAATATCCTTATTTTACTAAATGAAATTTTTTGTTGTTAATTTAATTGTTTCAAAGATGTATTCTTTGCCCCGTCAATTACCTTATAAGCTATTTCTTATTTTTATTTATCCGTTTGTTTATCAGTTTATTTGTTAGTTAGCAGGATATTGCAAAAACAGAACGTGCTGATGGGCATCGTGCCTGGTGTGATCCCATCACTAGATGATCTCTAGTTTGGAGTTGTTAGACATTTGGGATATTTAATGACACTATGTTCAGCAGATACGTTTTAAGAGTTTCTACATACCTGTAGAAGAAGACAAACTTCTCCTTGTAGGAGCTTCGTCCCAGAGATTTACTGCACTTCATAGCGTATGGATGACGTTTGTTCTTTCTGGAACTGAAACAGTGTCAGTGTAGAGGTCCATTAGTGTTTTATTTCTTGATTTGTTTTTAGTCACAACATTCATAATGTTATTCATAAGATTATGCAAACAAAATAAGTTTATTTAAAAGCTAAATTAAATCTGTAAAGGTAATTACAGCTGCCTCTCACATCTGCCTCTGTCCCGCAAGTCTCTGTAACTCATTATTCTTTAATTTCTGTCCCTGTCTTTTCTCAAAAAAATAGAACATGTTGCTCAGCTTTTCTGTCCACATTTGAGGAAAACTAGTTATCTACTATAAGACTACTGCTAGCTATTAATTTCAAGAAAGACAAAGCCATGTGTGATTGTTTTGACATTTTACATACATTTGAATGCATTGGAAAAATAGACCTTTTTGACATCATCCATTTTGACTTGACACAGAAAGAGCCAGCTTCACAAGCAAATTTTGCTTTCAGCTTGTTCAGACAGAGGGTGAAATGAAGGCCTACATGAAGAATCAATATAAGAAAAAATATAAATATAAATATTTTTTTGAACTTTGAATCATGCAAAGTTGCCATACAGGAGTCACAGAACTACAGTATAGGACTGGAAAAGCAGTATAATAGGTCTCCTTTAGAGAAGTGATTATGTGAGTAACTTTTGCTGTCATGACTGAGATCTGTTTGAGCATCAGCCGCTATAATTATATTATTAATTAATTAATTATATTGTAACCCGAAGAAGGTAAATAGCTCTCTGTGTGTGTTTTTGTAGTGTTTCATCAAGATGTTGTGATGCTAACCGCTATTAGCATCTATTTCAATGTAATAGCAGGACTTTACTGTGTGTTGCTAGTATGTATTAATATTGTCAGCAAGTGCAAAGCTCAAACAAACTCTGCATGAGAAGTAAATGATCATTGCACTGAGTAAAGTGACTGAGCAAACTGTCATGTTCACTCATTAAGCAGAGAGGACCAGGTTAGCCTGTAACTATCGTCCCCTCTCATGCATCGCCCAGTTCATCATTCTTCACTCACAGATGACAACACAGAAGGTAACTAATGCAGGTGCTATTTTATTTGGTAGATTGCACTAGCAAGGTACAGACCATTTAAATAGAGTTTGATTAGACATGGTAAAAAATGACATCCTACTTTATAAGGAATTTTTCAGTGAATGTTATTGTGTCCTTTTTCCCCCTTTTCCCCCCACATGCACCAAGGATCCAGCTGAATACTGACAATTTGGAGGAGGACTGGCACAGATTCACTGACCTGTTGTGGTATGTTTTCTGGATAACCTGTTAATATTGTAAATTTACATCTGAATACATTAAATACAATTGTTATAGAATCAATGTACTTTATTTGTATTTATATTATTTCCAACCCCACTTTTCTGAAACAGTGAGAATAGATGTATCAACTTATTTTGTATTTTGTCAGGATGTTTTCAGTTGAGGATATTTCATAGTAATCTTAAAGTTTATATTTTTTGACAATTTGAAGAATCTCTTTTACTGCTAATCAGTGCAGTAGTTTAATATTAAATATTGTACTTTATTTAAGGTTTTAATTTTATAAAAAAATTATAATTCCTTTCTCTTCCAAAATAAAGCTGATTTAAAAATCTTGAGCATGTGCTTTTATTGAAGGTGTTAGTATGTAATAATTCAGGAAAAATCTGTAAAATGACGGTGTTTCTTTGTAAAACCTTTAATGATAAATGTCTGTAAAGTTATTGCTTTTACACTTTATTTGAATTAGGATATTTTACTTTAATGTTATGGTTTGACCCATGGTTTGACTATATGTGTATTCAGAGCCAGTGAGCAACGGACTTTCAAAATAATAATAAACTTTTTAAAAACACATTAACGTGCGATAAAATAATTGTCCGTGGTCATTAATTAATGCGTTAATGCAACAATAACGTGTTAACGTGCCCAGCCCTAATAATATACAATAATAAAAAAGGCTAACTATTATTAGAGCCTGTGTGATATTTATTCATGTTGAAGGGTCTGCACCTTTTGATATATTGAACTTTTATATTTATGTAGCATGTAGGGATATACTGTATATGTATAATTCATTAATTCAAGGAGAAACATGGATTCTGTAAACATATGCTGCTTTTATGATGGGTGTTTGGCATAGGCTTTTTTTTGCATGTTTGCAATAATTTCACTGGTACACTTTGTATGACAAATTCGAACAAGTCGTGGAATAATCTGTGATAAGTCTGATACAGAGTTTCTTCCTCAAAATGCTTGCATTATTAAGTTATTTAAGACCCCTTGTCTTACAGACATTATTATGCTCGGCAGGGTTGGGAGGATTACTTTAAAAATGTAATCCAGCACAATTATTAATTACTTGTTAAAAAATTTAATCAGTAATGTAATCCAAGTACCACAAAATAAAAGTAATGTAACTTGATTACTTTTAGTTGCTTTTGGATTACTTCAATATCAAATATGCAAATAAAGACAAGAGAGTATTACAGATGTGTTGTCTGCTCTATGTATTTTTAGAGAAACATACAATTATAAAATCCAATGAAATCAATATCGGCCTATATGTCATATGGCAGGATCTGGCTTAGAGTTGTACACTTAGTAGAAGTAGCATTCCTGAGATTCAGCAAAAGTATGTGGTGATATCCGTGTTTCATCATTGTGCACAGCAAAGTGTCTGAAAAGGACCTTAAGAGGTGGATGCATAATTCGGCAGAACAGATTTTGTAGGCTACCTGCCGAGATTTTTTTATCCACCTCTTTTCTCAGCATAGACTAAATGAGTGTTAACTCCTGCGAGGTGCATGCACTCGCCATGGGCGGGGGGGACCCAGCAGGAAATGATTTGTTTTACAGGAAACACGTAAACAGAAAATAGCACTGCTTTCCGTTTCATGGAAACTTTGTTCTTAAAGCAATCCCTATGTGTAATCCCAGTTTTTACAAAAACTAACCAACAAAAAAGTAACTGTAATCTAATTACGTCTTTTTTTCTGTACAGTTACATTATTTTTGTATCCTGATTATGTAACGCCATTACATGTAATCCATTACTCCCCAACCCTGTTGCTCGGTCCTCTAAAGTCTGCTGATATGCACTCCAGACCAACACCAAGAGAGTAAGAGTGCTTCATGATGAAACATATCCAGGTAGAAATTTGTAGGGGTTTGTTGTCTTTTTACCCGCCAACTGTTGGACCAAATATCGAAAGACATTTCCACCACATGACTTTTGTTTACAATTTTTAGCTTTTGGTTTTAACAACCAAACCAGTTTTTAAACAATGTATGATCCTGGTGCTGGTTCAGGAACCAGACCTCTAGGTGGGAACCCGTCGCAAGACAATTAAGTGGAATTCAGCCCTTATTACTGTGATTAATTACACTTGTTTGGCAAGTCAAAATACCTAAAAAGGTCTATTGACTAAAACTGCTCCAGGTCTCTCTTTAAACTGGAGGTAGCAAAAAGTGTTTCTACTTCTGACTTAGCATTCTGTGAAGTTTGATAAATACAAGCCCGTCCAAAGGCATCCCTGTAAAATCACTGTCTAGCCTGTTTGTCCGTGTGATAGCTTACTTGTTCAGTTCAGTGAGGAACTTATCCATGGCCTTGCCACTTTGATCCACCACCTCCAGCATCACCACCACGCTGTACCGAGACACAATCTGCAACACACAGACACAACAGACTCACAAAAGACCAACAGGAATACAACACAGCAGGCCTTTTTCACAGCAGAATTTATCAGCACAGTGAGTTACCTTGATAAGATTTGTCCGCACAAGCACTTTGTTGACTTTTCTCCAGCCCAGCTTCTTGACATTGAAAGCTGCGATCTTCATATTGACTATAAAAAAAATCCACATAACTTCAGAGATTTAAACAAGACTAAAAGTCTACAGCAGAGCTAGCAATTCATCCTGAGTGGGACATTCAACAGTTGAAAAGGTGAGGGGATCAACAAAATAATTTGGATTCTTCCTCTTGGGACCATGTGTACCATATTTTATTTAAATCTATTCAATAGTTGTTGATAAATTTTAATTTGGACCAAAGTCAAAGTGGTGGACCGACTATCATACTAATGAGATGAGAGTAAAAGAGTAAAAAGAAATGGGCAGCAGATGAAAAGGCAGAGGAGCCATCTGGCAATTTCAGCTGCTCCTGAAAACATCATAAATGTAGCAGTTGTCTTTATCTTAGTGTATTTCTGTTTAGCTTCGGCAGAGAGGTGAGTTAATTTGTATCCAGCTGTTTCAAATTTCAGAGGAAATTCATGATGAGGAAATAAATAACTTCTTGCTCAACAATTGTATTGAGGAAAACTATTAGCAACTTTTTAAAAGCTTTCTTTTTTCATTTTCTATTAATCCATTCATGATTCTCATGAGCAGTTCCCTTAATACACAGCGTAGAAGTATACGTAAATGCAAATAACATAATTCTCACAGTCCATCTCACCCAACTCACTACCTTCACCAAAGAAGAACTCATTATAGTAAATAAATTATCACAACAATGTCTTTACATTGGCTACTAGTTACTAACTACTTAGATTTAATCTCCGAATTACTCTCTCTGCTCTTATTAACCTGCACACAGTCTGCAGTTACTGTAAAGGTGTGAGGGCATTAAAAAGCTTTTCAACTCCGGACTAACCTCTTTGATTATTATTATTATTATTATTATATATGCGTTTATATATGCATCTTCTCATGCACATACCTACACACATGTACTCGCATGCATGTATCTGTAGATATTGTACAAACTTGTACACAATTTCCACAGAAATACCACAAACAAAACTTTCACACACTAAAAAATAAATGTAGATGCATAAATCCGGAGGATCTGCACACATATTCAAACCAACACACCCACAAAAAAACTAACATTAAAGTAAATGCACATCTGAACTCACAGAGAAGTGAAGCATTTCATGCAAATGCTTTTTAACGTAAAAATATAAAGCCTGAGTGTGATACTTTAATCATTGCAGCGTAGAAAAAATTATTTTTAATGTCAGTTTGGCAGATTTACAAATGTCCAGCAGGTTTCCCGCCAATTATGTACTGGCATCACTTCATGGAAAAATGAAATATCTGCTAAATTAAAACTTATTTTAAAAGAAAGAAAGAAAGAAATACTCACCAATCAGGTTGAGATGAGCAAAATCAAATGTTGAAACAGCTGAGAGCCGCAGAGGTTGTTACTGTGTCAGCAGGCAGACGCGACTGAGACTTTCTGCAGAAAACAGTCTGTTTAACTGAGAGAGGCAGGAAGTGTCTCTGCCAGCCAAGAAGTTGGCGCTCAAACACACAGACATAAGAACTATTTTAAGGTACTTATACTTACTATGCTGTACTACATTTTAGAGGGAAATATTATAGTTTTTTTTACTTCTCTACATTTATTTGACAGCAAAAGCTAGTTACTTAATGATAACTTTATAAAATACGATATGTTTAACATTAAACCAGTGGTTTCCGGGTCTAGTGGATTCTAGTTGAGGCTTGTTTGGAACGTTTTACTTGTTGATGAGTAGGATATTTTTAGTTAGTACAGTGTATTTTTATAAGCGTACCATGTGTAAAAAAATATAGTTCTAAGACTTCTATAACGGCTCTTGACAAGACAATTAAAGTTAAGCTGACTTGAAACTTATTTAATTACAAAGAGTATGGTTAAATAGATAAATCAAAGAGCTGGTAATGAATTAAACTGACCATTAGATTTTACAGGCACAATGGATGACAATGAAGTGCTTCGTATAAAAAGTGGCGGGTAAAAAGTGGCGCAAGGAAACCGTCCAACGGTTTGAAATTTAATTGCCCTCTTTGCTGCACACACACACACACACACACACACACACACACACACACACACCACACACACACACACACAGAGTTACTGTTACTGCATGTTTCCACGATCTTGCAGGAAGACAGGAAGCTCCTTCCTGGATGTTTGAAACAACAGAAATAATCCTGTTCTCCTTTGTCACAGACACTAATACTGTGACTAGCTGATAAGAGTTATTATCCTAAATGTGTACAATTTTGTTATTTCTGCTAAAGTCGTGCTGACTTGCTCTAATAAAGGAACAATTTCAGTGTATTAATATCATTGACACATGACTGGTAGACAATGTGGAGGTTGTCTAGGTTGCATAAATCTGCCAAATAAACACAGCAGACAGAAAGTACAGTCAGTCACTGCTCCCCTCCCATCTCTACTAACTTTCACTCTGAATGGTGTTTTTAGTCAAACTCACCAGTGTTGAAATGGCAGGTTGAAGCAGCAGTTTTCTACTTTTCTCTCCTGTAACTGAACTTAGAGGAAGTTGTTAGCTTGGTCTGAAGGTGAATGTAAACGTCTGCTTTTCAGTCTGCATCTCTCTGTAGTGAGTAAGGAGAACAAAATGTTTCCTGGTTTGTTTCAGGTGAGTTAGGTGAAGGGTGGAGCTTTGTCAGAACTGTTCTGCTGAATGCTGTACAGGTAAAAGAGGGGCGTGTCATTACATTTACTCAAGTACTGTGTTCAGGCAACACCATATCAATCTACATCTGTCTGAGGCTCAGAAAGGTCAAATTATCCAATAATTCAGGAAAAAGCAACAGTCAAATAAATTTAAATTTGCTTGGCAGGACTTTTGTCTTCTTTACTCTCCCATTAATCATCTCATGACCCCTCGGAGGGTCATATGAGGGTAGCAACCACTAGGTTGGGATCTGTTTACTTGTAATTGAGCATGCTATTTTTAGTTTACAATGTATTTTTTAATCTTAGTCTTTAAAGTAACTAGTAACTATGGCTGTAAAATAAATATAGTGGAGAAAACACACAACACACACTGTTGGGTAACTGCATATGTCCATGATCTTGTAGCAAAACAGTAAGCCCCTCCATGGATGTTTGATAATAATAATAATAAGAATATATTTTATTCATAAAGCACTTTAAAAAGGTTCTCAAAAGCACTTTACATGGTAAAAAAAGACAATAAAAACATCATCATAAAAACAACTAGAGCTAATTATTAAAAAGGTGAAGTAAAACAGCATAAAACATAAAATAAGCAGGTTGTAAGTGATGTGACACGTCTGAGGTGATGAGGGAGAGCTTTCCAGAGGAAGGGGGCAGCGATGGAGAAGACCCTGTCCCCCCAGGTTCAGTACTTGGGGCAAGTGAGAGGAGAAAGGAGGTTGGAATCTGTGGATCTGAGGTTGCGGGTGGAAGTGACGTTGTAGGAGGTCGGTGAGGTAGGAGGGGGTGAGGTTACAGAGAGCTTTGTAGGTGATGAGGAGGATTTTAAACTGGATTCTGTGTTGAGAGGGAGCCAGTGGTTTTGGAGGACTGGACTGATGTCATCTCTTGTGCTGAAGTGAGCATTAAAGCCCCTGACCAGTATTTTAACAAGACAGCAGGCCGGAGCTGAAATGGCTGCTTACAGTAATCATTGTCATTAAAGACCTAATGATATAAGGTTTTACAGAAACCATTATTGCGTGCATTATGTAGGCTACTTCTACTTTATATAGGCCTACTGTAAGTACACACCAACATGATCATTCATTAAGAGTTGTGTTTGTGTCACCTGATGAATGCAATATATATAGTCTGGTGAGCAGTTTGTGTACATGAGTTGTAGGGACTTCATATGGTTGGCTTACAACAATGGAAGACTTTGAGGCTCATATGCTGAGTCCTGCATGTGGTTATGTTCAGTCAACAAAAGAAACTTTGGTTAAGGTCAGAATAAGATTATGGTTAACTGTATGGTAACTGTTAATACAGAACACGCTCTTGCTTCAAGTCACTTCCGACTTTTAATTTATTAATGCAACAAAGCAAATTATGTGTTTCCCACATAGTGCAGATGAAAGAATGAATTAATAATAGTAGGGGATAGCGGGGTATGTTGTCACACTTTTCACACTGTCTAACATTTACTGGACACCGTACATCTACATGGCACAAATTTCATACCAAATCAAAGAATGAAGTATTGGGCACATATTTTGTATTCATCACATCTTCATATCTTATCTCATTATGGAGTTGTAGACTGTTGAACCGAGAGTGTGCACTTGTGACAGTTTGCCCCATCAGCAGGTAAATTGTCACACTGTATTATCAAACAATAACAATACAACTACTTAATTGTGAATATTAATTTAATATATAAAATTAAAAATTCATAGAAGAACTAAAAGTAAAAACAATCCTGACTAGAGAATCTGGAAATCGGTCCTTTCAATCAAAACTAAAATGCTAGCAGAGCACACAGTGGCCACCTTACTTTAAACTTTAAAATCATTCTCTGGAGTGTAAATAGATCTATGGTAATTGAATGGAATACTGCAAATAACTTGCATAAATGTTTAAAGGGGACCTATTATGCTTTTCTGTATTTTCTATCATATCTATTATGTTACAATGTCAGATGTTCATCTTAAATGCGGCCAACCTTCAAAAAAATTAGGTAAACATATTAAAAGAAATCCCTGTGAGCCAAAACCTCTGATTTCCCATTGCTCTGAATGCTTCGGTTTTTCAGTTTCTTCTACTCTCAGTTACTTATGATGTCCTACAGAGCCGATTTTTCATATATGGTCATTTGTACACTCCTCCTGGCAACTGCTACGCTCAGTCTGTCTATACGGATCACCCTAAATAACCCATTATTTCCCAAATATATATATATATTTTTCCAGTTTCATTGCGCTGTGTTTGTTGCCATCTTGGGCCATAGTCTGTATTTTTTTTTAAAGTCTCGCACACAGAAATGGCTAGCGATGTGTCAGCGCAGGATGACACATGCTTTCATGCAAATCATTCAAAGCTAGAACTACATTATAGCGCTGGAAATTCAGTATAATAGGTCTCCTTTAACTTCTTAACAAAACAGATGTGGTGTTTAAACACTAATGCAACTAATGTGCATTTTTGTACGAGGGATATCTGTGTCTGTGAAAGCATCATGGGCCCATTTGTTGCATTTCACACACTTCACCCACATACTGTCTGAAATTGTGTTGATAATTTCTAACAATCTTAATTTCTTCCTAATTACACATTTCCTAATTACAATTACAAATAAATTTAATATATTATTTAATAATATTTTTAATTATTTGTCTACGATCCTTGTTGCCTAACTAAATTAATGACTGTATGAAGTAGTCACCTGTGACGACTTGCCCCAAAGTCATTGAGACAACATTCCCCAAACTGACGTGTGCTAATGTTGGCTAAATCTCAGGGTTAGCTTAACATAGCACTTCAGCTGAAATATCAAATTGTTGTCTCCTCTAAATTGTGCAAAATTAAAATTTTTAACATTCATACCTAACAAAGTTGTATTACATAAAATGTAAAGTGCAAATGTTTTATTTTTGAAGCAAAAAATTGACCATAGAACAAGAAGTCAGTAAGTATGAGCAGTGTGACAACTTACACGAGACAACTTACCCCGCTCTCCACTAAAGTTAAAACAGTGAATAATCCTCCTCCTCCTCCAGCTCTTCCTCCTCCTCCTCCTCCTCCTCTCTCCCTCCTCCTCCTCCTCCTCCTCCTCCTCCTCCAGCTCCTCCTCCTCCTCCTCCTCCTCCTCCTCCTCCTCCAGCTCTTCCTCTTCTTGATCCTCTTTCACCTCCTCCTTCAGCTCCACCTCCACAGGGTAATGGTCACTGATGGCTTGAGTCTGAAAGAAAAAAGTCACAAATGTATTTGCAGAACATCAAGGTGGAGAAACATTACATTATTATTTAAGTGTGTTATAAATGATGAAAAGTCCAAAAGCTCAATGTAAATTCCCAGACAGTCTTACTCTATGACTAGAAAGGCCATAGGCTTCCTGGAAGTTGAAAGGCTGGGCTGAGTTGGGCACAACCGCATCATACATGTGATCACCAAACACCACAATCCTGTTGGTAGAAAATACAATATCAGGAATTTATTTGTAAATGTCGAATTGTAAAATGTCAGGGGTCAGTTCACCTAATAAATAAGTATTTTCTACCTGACACTGTACCTCTAGTAGCCATGCTGAAATGTCTGAGGTGACTGACTTGCATCATTACCAGGCAGGTAGAAAGACATTTGCTTATGGTGCTCACATTAAGGAAAAATTAACTGCAGAGTAATGAGCCCAATATGGCTTGGTGCACTATAGATGACACAGCACAAATCATAAATGGACAAGATTTGGCTTTAATTGTCCTTATACTATACAATATTGTACAATAAAATTCAGTTACAGCCCCCTCCACGCTACACACACAAAACATTTATTGAAAAAAATTTATATAAGAATAGAATAAAATAAAACAGAACAAAGTAAAAGTAGCACTAAAGGGGAGGGAATAAGGAAAACTAAATTATATTTACAAGATATACCTATAGACATTTACACAGAAAAAAGTTGTTTACCCTGGAAATGACAGTTATGTTATTGCTAAGGTGAGATTTATCATCAGAAGTGTTTTAAAAAAGTATGTTTCGGTTTTGCAAAAAAAAAAAGAAGATTTAACGCATGTACGATTTAGTTCTTCACCAAAAAGCAGCGCAGAGCCGCTTCCCTACATTTTTCCCTGAACCAGCCAAACAGGGCTTCGGATTATGTAGCTAATGGGGACACCGTTTCTGAAAAAGAGTCTACAGCCAGCTTTATGTGGTTGTAGTCAACGCAGTGATGTACAGTATGTGTAACTGGCTTGCGACCTTGGGTATGGGAAGCAGACATGCATACGAGGAGGCTAAAACACATGGGCGTCTGTTGCTATAGCACATCTCTTAAGGTTTCAAAGAGTGAGGTTCATCCTGAAGGGGATGTGAGTGGCAATTATTTCATGACATGCCATCTAGTAGTTGTAGGGATATTTCAGTCTGGACCAAAGTGGCAGACTGACCAACATTTTCTTGCCTAGAAATATTTTCCTTTCACCTCTACTCAATTTTAGTTGAGGCAGATATTTTAGTAAAATAAACTGTAGTTCCCCAATTAAAAACATAAAAATACAGATCAAGATTTAAAAATACCTGTCATAGGTGTGGTCAGTTTTTTCACTGGTTGTGGTTTTGACACCATCTTTTATCAGCCAATGGTACGGAGAGTGGCAGATGCGTAACTTTTTCTTCTTCCTCTTGGAGAGGTAAGGCTTATCTGCATTAAAATCCCCCAAAATCATAATGTTCTGCAGAAAAACCATAAACATCATCAGTAACAACACAAAGTATAACAACCAATATTCCTCCAGAGTCATACAGTAACAAGTAATATAGAAAATATTCTGGGCAATAAACCAATCAGACCATAACGACTGTCCTTACAACAACCAGGAGCACTAGTGAACCAGCGGTATCGATCATCAATATACATATATATCAGCAGACGGACACATTTAGAGACAAGCTGGCGAGCATAGTGGAGCATTAACAGCTAAGGAGTCATATTTCCCTCAGGAGCTGGTGGAGACCAAAAACAGAGCTAAAAGAGAGAGAATAATCGACACAACCACGACTCCAAATGAATGTTTCTCCGTGTTGCTGTGTAAATAAGCAACTGTTCATCATAACATTACAAGGTGATAATACGCCAATGTTGTGTTTACAGCTTGTTTGGCTTTGTCCATTTGTCCATACTGTTTTAGTCTACAATTAAAAATATGTAATGCTAACTATAAACATGGCCACCTCTTCTGTGAAAGCCTTTAAGGGATGTAAGTAGGGTGACTAGATGAGAATAGGTGAAATTTGGGACAGAGTTTTTTTTATTATTTTTACATAAATTTATTTATTTTTATTAATTTTATCAGTGCGGTGCCTGTCTCATCTGTCTGCGCAATGTGTGTGTGTCAGACAGCGGCCGCCTGCAGCTACATCTACACTAGAGAACAAAAAAGGAGAAAGAGGACATGTGTTACTTTGTGGCTTTAACAATGCTGTTGACACAACGTACAGATGCCCTGTAGCCCCTGCTGTAGCTTGAGAACCACACAACGATCAATATAGTCTGATTTTCGGGACAAACAGAACAGGAGTCGGGTGATCTGCTCGTAATTCGGGTTTGTCCCGAATGTTTTTCGGGACGTCTGGTCAGTCTAGAGATAGACCTAAGTGTAAAATGCCAGTAACAGAAAGAAGTTTTGCAGTTCAAAAAGAACAATTTCATGAATTATTCCACTCAAACCCACCGAGTAACAACTATAACCATACTTTATATTTATTCTGTTCATTACCAACCCACATTAGTGTATTTTTGCCTCACAGCTTCGACCACATCATCCAGAGCGTCCAGCTCTCTCGGCGTATTCTCTGGTTGGGTGTGGACTGGGATTAGCACCAAGTCCTGCACAACTGGAAGCACAAACACACCCAATAAGGTATGGCTTAATAGGAGGACACACACATACAGTATGCATTTGCATTTCTACACTTATGAGGAACCTAACTGACATACAAAATTTCCTAGAACCTAAAAGTAGCCTACCTGTTTTTGGACAGTTGAACCACAGAATAAACGGATTTCTGGCGAAGACATCTTCATAATCTTCATACTGGTAGGAGTCGATAATCCTGACCTCATGCTCTCTGTTAAGCACATACAGACACACAGATGCATGCACACATATACTGTATCACAAACATTATGTACAGACAGACATTACTTTTTTCATTTTGAAACTACTGATTACCTCCTTATGTTTGTTAATTTTATTTATCTGTTTGTTTAATAGTTAGCAGGGTATCTCTTTTATCTTTTTATAACTTATATTTAAAGGTTCAGTGTGTAATATTTCTGAGGATCCATCGACAGAAATGCAACATAAGATCCATAACTATGTTTTCAGTGGTGTGTAAAAACCTTTCATAATAAACCATTATGTTTTTATTACCTTAGAATGAACCATTTATATCTACATAACGTCGGCACATTGCATTGTCATGTTTCTATAGTAGCTGAAAACAGAAAGACAGCGCTACAGAGTGCACTTTTTTTCTTGTTCTACTGACCTGCATCAACATTACTTGGTTAGTTCAGTCGTTAAGATGCAGGACTTGCAACCCAAGGGTTGAGTGTTGGATTCCAACTCAGGACAACAATTTTTTTTTCTGTCTTCAACAATTGGATTCTGCAGCGAATGTTTCGCATGCGCTGCAGTGTTTTTGTTTCGGTGTTTGATCCTCATCCACTAACCTACGGACGCCTTTGCATTTCGTCAGTGTCTCCAGGCAGAGGACATTTAGGGGAATCATGTTTTCTGACAGCTCTTTAAGAGGTGTGTCAAGCAGGCTACAGACTCCTTTAATGTCGTTCATAATTTTTCAAAGTAAAAGCTCAATTCAACTCCAAATACTGCATTGCAGTAAACAAGCTTCTTGCGCTTTTATTTTGCTAAAGAGGGAGTGATTATGTGAGTAACTGAGTTGCTGTCATATCTGAGATCTTTTTCAGCACTGCTATCAAAGTATTTATTTATTTATATTTTTTGCCGCTATCAAAGCACCATAATCTGGCCGCGGGTCAGATATTATTGTTGGCAGGTAGTTATGGCGATGGTCCACAATCACAGAGAGAATCAATGTTTCCCTTGTTAGTGTTTATATAAACTTTATTTAATGTGTGCTTTACAATGGACTGTGGTGCAGAAACAGTGACAGTGTTTCACACTCTTGGCTTACATTTTCCATTTTATCTGTCAGGGGCCAAGTCACAATAATATATGGTTTTACTGAATAATTAAGTAAATATAATACATAATAATAATATAGTACGCTGAAACATGTTGCACACTTTTATGTGTTTGCCTGATTTTTAAATCCTGTAGGCCCTACAGAGTGGAGGAGAGGTAAATGTCAATATATATTTGTCAATAATCAATACACTATTATTGGTCAAAACAGCATCATTAAGCAAAAACTAAAATAAGTAGTTTGTAATAAGATGATTGCATTCATCTGACTTCATGTGATCTATGTACCATCTTAAGTTAAGAAAACTTTCAACAATGTTAACAACAGCGTAGGTGTTGATGCTTGTTTGTTTACTGTTTTCTTATTCTCTAATAATGCAGATTTGCCATGATATTTCTCTCGCTTCCAGGCTTCCCCCGGTAACCCCCGTGTTTCACGTCATACCGCTATGAACTTTGGGCAATTCCCTCAGCCAAAGTCTGCAGAAATGCGGACTTATGAAAAGGGTCTAATAAAGGGCTCAAAATGTCCGAGAGAGAGCCCTCGCACACTTGACGGTGGGACAGCCCTAATCCCTCACGGACTTCCCGGGAACGCGGCTCAAAGTCTGTGAGGGGGCACATTGGGATTGGGCCCTAGACTGGACAGATGGTTGCAATTCACAACCCTCGCCACTAGATGCCACTAAATCTTACACACTGAACCTTTAAGATACATTACATGGCCAGTATGAGGTGTTTGGTCCAATAGCACCACCATGAGGTCATTTTTAAAACACTTTAGGTTTTGTCTCATAACTCCTGAACCAAAGGGGAGAAAAAGAACGTTGGTTCAAATCAGAATCACCCTAAACCAACAAAAACTAAACATTTTTGGATGAGACTATTTGAATAAAATCACAGTTTTCCTATAATTAGTAACCAAATTCATGTAGACATGAACTATTTGAGACACACGTGCACTTATCAACTCAAATGTGATGGAATTTCACCAAGCGGGAAGCTTCCGGTCAGAGAACTGAGACAAACATGGAAGTTTCCTAAAACCTGCATTCTATCGAACGACCATCAGGTTTGTTTGCAAAAAGAAGTCGGGTTCCATTAGAAATAATGGTAAAATGAGGCTACTTCTCAGCTGATTTATTACCTCAGTAAACAGTTTCATAATGAGTTTATGATCTCAATCGCGAGTTTCAAGTCTTCATTTAGTATGTTATAGTCCCATTTATGTTAAAATAGACCATAAAGCAGAGTATGTTTCAGTTGTACCTAAGCAAGCTAGCTACCTCTGCACATGGCTGTTAGCTCCACCGTCCTGTCCAAATATGGTCACGTCTGGTGCCACTGGTTGCAAAAACTCAACATGGCGGCACCCTATCAGCCAAACTCTATATACAGCCTATGCATTTCACCTATAGGTGGCACTACAGCAACATAACTCACTTGAAATTTTGCACAACTATTCATTTTGATGCAGACACAGAGGCAAGCAGGTTAAAAATATTTAATGAATCAAAGAGATTTAGATAACTGTGCAGCTGTGACAGCGTGGCTGGTATTGGTTTCCCGTGTGTGTTGTGTGTGTGGGGGATGTTTCTTATTATATGTCTGTCTGACCAGGTGTGCCGCTTCGGCTCCACTGGCCCCCCTCATATGCAATAATATCTGATATTTCACATTAGGTAATGTTAATTTAAGTCAAAATTAGGTATTTTCAGAATCAACCAACCAACTGCTTTTGACTGTCAGTCACTGCTTCTCATGACTACTGAGTGCTAGTGGGTTATGACATCAACATGTTGATGAGCCATGTGGCTTGTGTGATCCATGGTCTCTAGTTTGGAGATTTTGGACATTTGTGAAACTTCATGACACTGTGATGAGCAGATAAAGACAGTGAGTTATCCATTTCATACCTGTAGAAGTAGGCAAACCTCTCCTTGTGGGATGTTCGTCCCAGAGATTCACTGCACAGCATGCAGAATGGATTACCTTTGTTCTTTCTGTCAAACAACACAAACAAATGAAACTGAAACACACAGTTTAATCATTGAATCGTTGGTTAATTTTGGAGCTTTGTGTGCGTGAAGAGGTCCAATAGTGTTTAATTTTTAAGTTTTTAGTCACATCATTCATACTGCTGCGAATGGGTGGTGATGGCGCTGTGGATAAGAGACATGCCTTTGTTGTAAGAAACCCGGGTTCAAATCCCCACTCTGACACATCCACCAATATGTCCCTAAGCAAGACACTTTACCCCTGGATAAGGAGGTTTGTGACATACTTAGCAATTGTAAGTCACTTTGGATAAGAGTGTTAGCTAAATATAAATGTAATGATATTCTGCAGTTTATTGAAAAGCTAGATTTAATCCGTATAGGGACAAAGTCCAGGTCTGCTCTGCCAGTCTCTGTAACTCTCATTATTCTCTAATTTCTGTCATCAACATTTCTCCGTTTGAGTTTAAACATGTTGATAATTTCAACAAAGACTAAAACTCACCGGATGCATTATTGATGAACAAAAAGAAAATAATCACCAAATAACATGCGCAATAAAGCCTTTTTTTTAAATGAATTGTTATGACAATGTGTTTAAGATAAGACTGAAGTTATTGTTTTTGGAGCCAAGGAAGAACGATTTAAAGTTAGTGCTCAGCTTCAATCTGTAATGTTAAGATCCAGAAATCAAGCCAGAAATCTTGGTGTAGTCATGGACTCAGATCTGAATTTGAGGAGCCACATTAAGACAGTTACAAAGTCAGTCTACTATCACCTGAAGAATATATCAAGGATTAAACGACTTATGTCTCAGCAAGACCTGGAAAAGCTTATCCATGCATTTATCTTCAGTTGACTCGACTACTGTAACAGCGTCCTTACAGGGCTCCCTAAGAAATCCATCAGACAGCTGCAGCTGATTCAGAACGCTGCTGCTCGAGTCCTCACTAAGACCAAAAAGGTGGATCACATCACTCCAGTTCTGAGGTCTTTACATTGGCTTCCTATGTCAAAGAATTGATTTCAAAATCCTGCTGTTAGTTTATAAAGCACTAAATGGTTTAGGGCCAAAATACATTTCTGATCTTCTGCTTCGTTATGAACCATCCAGACCTCTCAGGTCGTCTGGGGCAGGTCTGCTTTCTGTCTCCAGAGTCAAAACTAAACAAGGAGAAGCAGCGTTCAGTTATTATGCTCCGTATATCTGCAAAAAACTCCCAGACAACTGCAGGTCTGCTGAAACTGTCAGTTCTTTTAAATTAAGACTGAAGACTTTTCTTTTTACCACTGCCTTTAATTAAATATTTAAGATTTTTCTTTTTACCACTGTCTTTAACTAGTAGACTGATAACTTATACTGCACTGTAACATTTACTGTCCTGTTTTCTTTTTCTTTGTTTTTAGCTTTTTACCATTGCTTTTAATTAAATATTTACACGGTGAGAAATGAGTAGGTAACTGAGTGAAAAGATAAGGAGAGTGGTCTTAAATCTCACGCCTGAGTGATTTGCAAGAACATCTGTCCACCTGTAAACATGCAGGTGGGTGCAGAGTATAACTGGATAAAAAGTGGCCTGCTGACAGACATGTCCTGGTGTCTCTGTAGTGTCCGAGGGTTTTGGGAGTTTCAGTGGACCCAAAAATTGCTATGGACCCGAGTACAGACTGGCTAGAGAGAGTAGATTAAGTGTACTTCTCTGTTTATTCTCTTTTCAAAATAATTGTAACTCAATTATTTGCTCAGCCTGTTTTTATTTTCCATTTAACTCTTTTAACCATGATTGCACACTGCACTGTAACTTTTATTATATTTTAATGTGTATTTTTTCAATTTCCCTATGTTGCTTTTAAACTTTTTTATATTTCCCTGTTGCTTTTATGTTTTATGTAAAGCACTTTGAATTAACTTGTTGAAATGTGCTATACAAATATACTTGCCTTGCTTTGCCTAAAGTGTGAATACATTTGGATACATTTAAAGCAACAGTATGGCAATTTCTTTATATTAAACTAACAAGCTCAAAATCCTTCTGATGGTGCAGTGACTTCCAATAGGGTGAATGACGTCACTGTTATTGCTGCTTGTTGACAGAGGAAGTCAACAATTCAAAAATGTCCAATAAAATCTTAACCTAGTGCAGACCTGTAGCCGAGGGTGACTAACTGTTCTAATAGCAAAATAAAGACTGTCCTTACACTGCAGTTTAAAATATCTTTGTGAAATCTTCCCCCTTGAAAAACCATTTAGGTTTCCTAGAAATTTTAATGCAGCCTTTATTACTGTGATTGATTACACGTGTTTGGCAAGTTAAAAAAATAAAGGTCTTACGACGTAAAAATGCTCCAGATCTCTCTTAAAAGTAGCCTGTTTGTGTCCTCATTTTCTGCAGTTGCATGCTAGTAGCAAGTATTTTCCCTTTTGGCAAAAGTCTTTCTACCTATGAGTTAGCATTTTGATGAATACGTGCCCATTCCAAAGAGATTCCTATTTGTCCACGTGTAGATAACTTACTTGTTGAGTTCTCTGAGGAACTTATTCAGGGCATATAAATGTTTATCCATGACCTCCAGCAACACCACCACGCTGTACCGTGACACAATCTGCAACAAGCACAGCCACAATAGACACACAATGGAAATACAACACAGCAGGCCTTTTTCACATCAGAAATTTTGAATTGTCATATTAGGAAAAGCACAGGTGTAATCACAATAACAATGGCTTTGTATCTTTAAAGGGCCCCAGTAAGCTGTGACATTGGGGCAGTGAGCCAGCATGAACAACACAAGGTCCGGAAACAAAGGCAGCTAAATGGTATTCTGCTATCACTCATTATATTATATCCAGCTTCTCTAACAGTAAAAAAGGTTAATGAAAACCAATAATAATATTTCAAATATGGTAATTTGAATTTTTTTTTAACAGCAATACATGATTTTTACAGAAACTATGCCACCAAATCTGGACTCGTGTCCTTCATTGTAAAATACCAAGCTGAAGTCTTGTTTCGGTGATGATCACAAGCATAAGCATACTGAATTTAGGAGATCTTATTCCTGTGTTACATAAAAAATATAGTACATTTCACTGTGTTTTGAAACAGTGAGAGCATCACAAAAATATGAAATAAAATAAACCATTATTCTAAACATATAAGATTGACATATAAGACAGTGAGTTACCTTGATAAGCTTTCTTCGCACAAAGTACTTGTTGACTTTTTTCCATCCCATTTTGTTGACATTGAAAGCTGCGATCTTCATTTTGTCTATAAAAACAAAATACACATAACTTCAGAGATTTAAACAAGAGTCGACAGCCATGTGAGGCTGTTTTAGTTTAGTGGGTTAACATGCCAAAATTTACTAATTAGTGCTAAACACAAAGCACAGCTGAGACTGATGACAATGTCATTATTTGGTCATTAAGTATTGGACAAATACTTCACGCAGGTTTGATCTGAAGATGGTGTTAGAGGAAATGTTAAAGAATCACCAACATTGTTACAATTCATCCTGAGTGGGACATGAATATTTGTACCAGATTTCAAAGCAATTCATCCAACGGTTGAAAATGTGAGGAAACCATGCATATCTGTACCAAAACTTAATTTAAATCCATTTAATGGTTGATGATATATTTTCGTTTGGACTAAAGTGGGGGCCATCAGACCAATGAGATGATAGATAGAAGAAGAAAGAAATGAGCAGCAGATGAAAAAGAGGAAGGGAAAGCAGAAAAGCCACACCCGACCGATCAGAAAGGTTGCAGTTGTCTTTATATTTATTTATGCATATAATGCTTGAGCATAGTGATGAGTTAATTTGTTTCCAGCTGTTAAAAGACTAAACAGGGATCAAATCAAATAAATAAGTGAATAAAATAAACTGACTCAGTTCCTCAATAATAGTCTTCAGGAAAACTTTTACAACTTCTACAACTGTTTAGAGGATTTCATGTGCACAACAGTTCCCTTAATAAACAATGTAGAAGTGTAAACATCACACTGTAAATACAAATCAAATCATTCTCACACATCCACCCAAAATCTTCTAAAACTACCCCATTTAACTCACCAACTTCACCCAAGAACAATAAATCATTATAGTAAACATCACACTACAATATCTACAGAAATACCACAGATATTCAATCTAACAAACACACAAAAAACTAATGTGAAACACTGTTTAAAATATATATTTAACAAATAAATATAAAGACTGAATGTGATAATTTCATCATTGCAGCCCACAAAGAATGTTTTTAATGTCAGTCCAGCAGGTTTCTTAATACTGAACACTTGTTTTAAGCATTGAAAAGTAGAAAACTAGTAAAAGCACAAACATACTCAAATTTTATGTCAATCAAATGTTGAAACAACAGAGAGCAGCAGAGTTTGTTACCGTGTCAGCAGACAGAGCAGTGGTCTGATTAAACTGCGGGAGGAAGGAAGTTGGCTGACAAACACACACGGTGTTATAGTCAATGACATTGAAGCCGTGCGTCAGTAAAAAAGGTGGTGACGCAGTTACATATTATTATTTACGTAGTAAAGCAGCTGTGGAATGAAAATAAATACATTTACTCAAACTGAGTAGAACTACGTTAAAATACATGCAGTATGTAACTATCATTAGTATCGTTTTGCTGTTGCAGCTGTTTGTGGTGGATATAGTTTTACTTTATATACAGTTAGTTAGTTTTGTCCAGTGGTTCCCAACCAAGGGGTCGGGCAAACAAAGGGTCACCAGGTAAACCACAAGATAATTCATGAGATAATTAATTTGGACTTTTCTCTATCCATATCGTATAATTTGACCTTTTTGGGCCTCGATCAGTGACTTAGATGAAACCACGTGAAACGTTTTCTCTCCTTGGTGGAACTGCAAACAACTCAAACACATCAGAAACCTGATCCTCAACTGGACTAGTTGTCAGAGAAAAGTAATGGTGTAGAAAGTAAAGTATTTGCCTTTGTAGAATAGACATATAAAGTAGCATAAAATAGAAATTCTATAGTAATTCAGTACTAAGCACTGTACTGAGGAAATGTACTTAGTTACCTTCCACCACTGGTGAACACAAACGAAAGACTGAATCATTTCCTGGCTCTTTGTGGTGAGCTTGTTACTGAAGGAGCTCTGTTCATCATAGACAGTGAAGGGTTGGTGGTTTCAGATCTTATCTTTTGTCTCCATTTCAGCAGCTTCTTCCAGTCTGTCCAGTTCCAGCCCAAACTCCCTCTCAGCAGCTGTAATGTTTAATTCAACTCGAGCCAACATGACTGGGAGTTATAATGGCTATAACCTCCTATTCAACATTAATAATAGGTTAAGCCTGTGGCATCTTACACTAGCCTAGAGGCTAAAGGATGAACGTGTATAGTTAATGTATGAATGGATATTATTTATTCTAAACCAGGTGTGTTCAGTGTTGCTTTACCTGCTTGTAAAATATCCACTGTCTGTGTCTTCTAACGTCACAGCGATTTATAGTTTTCTCACCGTTGTTTTAAGTCACTGCATCTCCTGATGAAACACCATGGTTGTATTGCAGCGTTCTGTAACATAACTTTGTCAATTCGAGTAGTTCACCTGCTCTTCTCCCCTCTGCGTACACACTCACTCAGCCCCCTCAGTGACCCATCCATCACCCAAAGCTGTCAACTTGAGGGGAAAACTGCGCTGCTTTCATCCTCTTGCACTCTAGAAGCTGCTTAAAGTTAATAATGTTGGATTATTATGTAATGTATTGTATTGTAATGCATATATAGGAGTTTTTAAAAACAAAGTATTACATTTTAAAAATTCAATAGATTAATTATTCCTAAGGCAATGAGTAATGCTGTTAAATAATTATGATCTCAATATTGACCAAAATAATTAGCAGCCCTACATGAACATTTAATTTAATTCATGAAATTATAGAATGATTGTTGTATGAAACTGCACCGCTGTCTTCTTTCTGTACAGGCTAATGCTTCATTCAATAGATTTTTTTATTTTTAACTTGAAAAAACTTAGGAAATGGTTTTGAATTTGGTGAAGAGCGAATTATGACTTGTTTAGGACTTGAAACTCAAAGTTTAGGACTTGACTTGGGACTTGTTGGTCTTGACTTGAGACTTGACTCGGACTTGCCCGTCATGATCAGTCTGGACTTGTGACTCGAGTGCCAAGACTTGAGACTTATTTGTGACTTGTAAAACAATGACTTGGTCCCACCTCTGTCTCATCCTAAAGTTTCTTAAAGGTCTATAGCATAATCTGATTCACTTTATACAACAAAATAACTGCAAAAAATCGTTCTCCGCGCCCCAAAAGCTTGATTAATATTATTCCAAATGGTTTCCCAAGCTATTTCAAGGGAAATGGAAGTATAATCATTTTATTTTTATTTGGGAATACATTGTTGATACAGTTCCCTTGGTGTTAGCACTGTAAAGTTGATTTATAAAGTCATGTTTTGGGAGTTTATAGTCCCATGGAACATAAGCCTTTAAGGCAGAATGACGCTGTAAGTATAAAAAAAAACTAAATCCAGGTAAATTATAGTTTTCTTTAAATCTAGAAATTTACAGAGAGCATAAATGTTGAATAACTGTCCAAGTAAATAATTTACACAGTCCGATCACCCAAGAATAAATTGTGGTTATGAAATATTGGAGTATGATAATGTAATTTTTTTTTAAACTTATTGTTGGTCACAAGTTTCCAAATTAGTAAGAGATTACAAATATTTGGACCAAAACACATTTTGGCTTGTTTAAGGGGAACTCCTGCATAAATAAATTCTTGTAATCTGTGTGGATAAACTAGATTTTCTTCCAGAGAGCGCCAGCATACAGAATTTGTGGGGTCTAACCAAGATTTTATTGTAAGCAATAATGATAGACTTTAATATTTGGAACCCCCCCAACCTCCAGCTGATTTCTCTCTCTGAAGAGTTGTGAGATTGATCCTCTGTCTTTTGTTATTCAAAATAAAACCAGTGATCTGGCTGTTTTAAACCCAAAATGGAAAAACAAAGGAGCTGCGTTTTATTTTATTGTGACCGGTGTTGTCTCCCTACTGGTTTTCAAACTAACTGGTTGCTGTATGCGTGCGCCTGTTGTTTACAACAGTTCTGCCCCGTCCACAGATTGGTCACACTCACAAGCATTCAAGCTATTTCCTTTCAAGTCACATCTCATATCACCTGTGACGAATATGATTGTTGAAGTGAGCACCATATTATAGCCACCTATGAAAAAATAAAATTAACCCCTTGACGCCGATTGTCGCGAATTTGCATCATACCTCTTCCTTGCAGACTGCAAGCCAAGATAGCACATGGATTCCCCCGATGCTTGTTGGTGCATATTTGATACGAACCCAGGAACCTTTTGCAAGCCCTGGTTTCTCATTTATGCCTGTTGTCGCTAATTTGCATCATACCTACACATACCTGAATTTATATCTTTTCTATGTTGTAATGACAAATTAACAATCTTCACTTAATTTAACATCAGCTTGAAAGCAAATGAAAACACAAATAATTGTTTTTTATTTTTTGATCGTAAAAAAAATTCTGGCGTTAAGGGGTTAAACAAAATATACTTTTTTGCAAATTGCTTTGCCTGCAAGCCAATCAAATATTCAGGATTCAGGATTTCCACTCACATATTGATTTATGTACATCAACAGGTTGCATTTTGTTTGGGGCTGATCTAAAGCAGCTTGTTACCTGAGCGATATAAGAAAATACTCAAACATGTTTACCAAGGGTTTTTTCTCAAGGCTACGGCAACATTTATCAGCCCCCACGACACCGACAATATTGTCAAAATACGTTAAATAACTGTCAACACTGAGCCACAGGAAGAGTAGAAAACAAGTGACCTAATTTTCGGCCCAAAGACACACACCAAGGCTACCAAAGGTTTGCATATATTGCACGCTATAGTGAGAGACAAGGGACCCACTCAGACCTCTTTATTTGCCTTTAATTGCTCGTCACCCTGTCTTAATGCCAACCTTTACTCCAAATGACGCCAAAATAATGAACAAAAAAACCCTGAACATTTCAGTCCCTTTATTATTTGTTCATATACAGTTTGTCAAATAAACTTCTAACAGTTCGTTTTTACTGTGTACCATTGGATGTACTGACAATATCACTGAATTACTTTGTTAATGCAGATTCTTAAAACCAGAGGATTCACAGGCAACTTCTGAAGCGTTCCCATTCCTGCCCCAGTACAAGCATACAGTGAGTTTTACTGTGTACTACTAAACTTGAGCCTCCTGTTTTTCTAACTAAAAAACAGTTATGTTGATGTTCAAGCTAATTTTCATTATATTAATTATAGGCAACGCCAAGTGTATTTGCTGCATGTTTATTAAGTGCAAGACACATAAATAAAACACATTTAATATAATAATCTTTATTTTTTCGATTTGGTTTTAAAACAGAAAAAAACAAAAAGTTGTTTTTTTTCGATGTGGTTTTGAAACGATATAATGAAAGAATGAACCATACACGGATGGTGAAACTTTTTACTGTACGTTTTATTCAATAAAGTTTTTTTAATTTTTCACTCTTGTTAAATTTTTTAAATAGTATTAAAGTTTATTAAGAGAACATTATAACTTGTTAAAGGCTAGGACTTGAGACTTGACTTGGACTTGCCCGTGTCGACCCGTCTGGACTTGGGTAGTGTGAACACTTCAAACTTACTTGTGACTTGTAAAACAATAACTTTTTACCACCTGGCCTATAACTGTGCTATTTGCTGATGAGCAGGTTGGATGGTCTGACTTAAGACTTTTTATTTATAGTACAGTACATAGTGCAGATGAAAGAATTAATAATAGCAATAGTAAAGCTGCACCTCCACAGGGTAATGGTCACTGATGGCTTGAGTCTGGAAGAGAAAAAGTCATAAATCTCTTAGCAGACAAGGTAAAGAAATTACTTTATTATATAAAATTTTTCTAAATGATCTCCGTCCAAAAGCTTCATGTAAATTCTTAGACAGTCTTACACTGGCGTTAGACAGGCGATAGGCTTTTTTAAAGTTGAAAGGCTTGGCCGAGTAGGGCACAACAGCGTCATACATGTGATCGCCAAACACCACAATCCTGTTGGCAGAAAATGCAGTCACAATCAGGGATTTATGTGGAAATGTCAAATTGTAAAACTAAGTATTTTCTCACTGACACTGTACCTCGAGTAGCCATGCAGATATGAGTCCTCTTGTTCACATTTACAAATATATGTCTGAGATTTCTGACTCTACATCATTATCAGGCAGGTGGAAAGACATTGTTGGGTGCTCACAATATAGAAAAATGAACTGCAGAGTGATGAGCCCATTATGGCTGTGTGCACCATAGAAGACGCAGCACTAGAAAACTTAATTGGACAAGATTCAACTTTAATTGTCCTTATTCAATACAATATTGCATAATGAAATGTTATAGTGTAAAGATAAAAAAGTTGGTTTCATTGTCAATGACGATAATGTTAGTGCTAAGGTGAGATTTATGCTTAATCTGAAATGTTTTCAAAAAGTATTTCTCGGTTTTACAAGAAAAAATATTTAAAATTTTCTTAAATGCATGTAATAATAATAATAATAATAATTAATTAGTTATTTAGCTGATGCTATTCATGGCATATCATTTCATGGCATGCCGTCCAGTAGTTAAGATATTTCAGTCTGGACCAAAGTGCCGAACCGAAAGACTGACCAACATTTCCTTG